GCCTGCACCCTCCTCTTCATGGTGCTGTACTTCTTCACCATGGCCGGCAGCGTCTGGTGGGTCATTCTGACCATCACCTGGTTCTTGGCTGCGGTTCCTAAATGGGGCAGCGAAGCCATCGAGAAGAAGGCCCTGCTGTTCCACGCCTGTGCTTGGGGCGTCCCTGGCATCCTGACCGTCACGCTGCTCGCCATGAACAAGATCGAAGGAGACAGCATCAGTGGTGTTTGCTTTGTGGGGCTGTACGACCTCACAGCGCTGCACTGGTTCCTACTGGTCCCACTGGGACTGGACGTGCTGGTGAGGAGCACGCACACACACACACACACACACACACACGTGTCTGCAGGTGTTTTAGGTCCTGGGACTGCTGGTCTCCATCTCTCTCGTGTTCTCCCAGGTGGGTGTGCTGCTGCTGCTGGCGGGCATTGCTGCTCTAAACCGCGTGCGGATGGAGATCCCGTTGGAGAAGGAGAACCAGGAGAAGCTGGTGAAGTTCATGATTCGTATTGGTGTGTTCTCCGTGCTCTACCTGGTTCCTCTGCTGACCGTCATAGCCTGCTACCTGTACGAGAGCAGCTACAGACGCATCTGGGAGACCACCTGGGTCCAGGAGAAGTGCAGGGACTACCACATCCCCTGTCCCTCCCAGGTGTGTTCCTGAACCCGTCCATCTAGACAGTTCTGACCCGTCAGTACCGTCAGAGCGGTGCCACGCCGCCGGTACCGTCAGAGCGGTGCCACGCCGCCGGTACCGTCAGAGCGCCGCCACGCTGCCAGCCTGCTGCAGGGGTCCAACATCCCGTCACAGACTCTTCCGTGGCTCTTTAGTTTTGAATGAGAGTCAAAGTGAAGGGGTGTTGTACTGAGATGTGTTCCCCCGTTCAAACGTGTCTGAACAGCCGTGCCCCGTTTACGCCCAGCCAAGGCCGCTGTTCCAACCATCCGTGCTTCCTCGTCGTATATTCCTACCTCAGCGTGTCACGACACCTGTACAGGATAGCAACAGCCTAGTTGTAAACAGGTGGTACTACTACCAACACAGAACTGTAGTATAACTACTAGCAAACACATACAGTTGTCATGATTCCCTGAGTGATGGTAAACAACTGGAGAAATGTATTGTTTACAGAATAATAACCATGTTTACAAGCGGTCAGGTAAACGTGAACCCTAACCCAAGCAGCAGCGTCACTTCCAGGTAACAGCCTGAGACGTAGGAGGCGCTCTGCGTTTCCCCAGAGTGCCGCATGTCCACGAGTAACAGAGGCCTGGAGCTGGAGTTTGTTTTGTATTGTATTAAATAAATAAGTAAATAATAATGAACCCGCTCTTCTGTAGTCCACCGGGTGCAGCTCAGCTGGTTTACCAATAAACACGAGAAGACCCCAACCCGTCGTTTCTGACCAGACCATGAAGACGGATTGCTGCTATGGCAAGACAGTAAAGCATTTAATCAGCAACAGCACCTCAGTAACTCGTTTCTACATTGCAGTAATAACGTGTACCCTAGTCTAATCTCTGGAACCAACATCAACCGTGTTGACTCCAGTAGGAAGTGCAGGTGTTGCAGGTGACCTGCTACGAGTCTTCAGTTCTGAACCTGTTCACCATTTTCCAATATTCTGAGTTTGGGATCTTCGTCAGTTAAAATCATCAAAGTTCAGTCGCTCGTGAGTGAATCTAATGTAATAAACCATCTTTGTCATCATCTTCTGTCCGGAGAGGGTGAAGGTCACACAAAGGTCAGTCTGAACAGGAGGAAGACTCTGGTTTAGATGTGTGTATGGAAGCAGGTCATGACCTCCCTCCCACTCTAACACACACACACACACACACACACACACACACACATGGTTTAGCTCTGTGGCTCTGCTCGTTGGCGTCATAAAGCGCCTCGATCACCACCTGGTTAGAACATCTGTTTGTGTTCTTCAGGTGGACCGCACCGGTCGGCCCAGTCTGGCGGTGTTCCTCATCAAGTACCTGATGATGCTGATAGTGGGGATCCCGTCCGTGTTCTGGGTGGGCAGCAAGAAGACCTGCTTCGAGTGGGCCAACTTCTTCCACGGCAAGAGGCACAAAGAGTACGTGTGTGTGTGTGTTTATGCATGTATGTGTGTGTGTGTGTGTTTATGCATGTGTGTGTGTGTGTGTGTGTTTATGCATGTATGTGTGTGTGTGTGTGTGTATTTATGTATGTGTGTGTGTGTGTGTGTGTGTGTGTGTGTTGTACACGCTAGAAGATTCAGTCAGGGGACAAAGATGGTGGCTGCTCCGCTCCTCCTGCTGCTCCCACATCCTTCTAGAGGAGCAGGAGTCCCACAGGCCTTGTGTGGGTGGGCGGGGCTTGCTGGTGAACACAGGCCCCTCCCCCTCCAGATAAACCCGAGCATTGACTCCCTCCCCCTCTCGTCTCTCTCCCTGCCCGTGTCCTCCCCCCTGCCTCCCCCTCTCGTCTCCCCCCTGCCCGTGTCCTCCCCCTGCCTCCCCCTCTCGTCTCCCCCCTGCCCGTGTCCTCCCCCTGCCTCTCTCCCTGCCTGTGTCCTCCCCCTCTCGTCCCCCCCCCCCCGCCCGTGTCCTCCCCCTGCCTCCCCCTCTCGTCTCCCCCCTGCCCGTGTCCTCCCCCTGCCTCCCCCTCTCGTCTCCCCCCTGCCCGTGTCCTCCCCCTGCCTCTCTCCCTGCCTGTGTCCTCCCCCTCTCGTCTCCCCCCTGCCCGTGTCCTCCCCCTGCCTCCCCCTCTCGTCTCCCCCCTGCCCGTGTCCTCCCCCTGCCTCCCCCTCTCGTCTCCCCCCCCGCCCGTGTCCTCCCCCTGCCTCCCCCTCTCGTCTCCCCCCTGCCCGTGTCCTCCCCCTGCCTCCCCCTCTCGTCTCCCCCCTGCCCGTGTCCTCCCCCTGCCTCCCCCTCTCGTCTCCCCCCTGCCCGTGTCCTCCCCCTGCCTCCCCCTCTCGTCTCCCCCCTGCCCGTGTCCTCCCCCTGCAGTGGGATGGTCGGCGGGAGCAGACCGGCCCTCCAGGAGCCCGACTTTGCCCAGCTGCTCTACAGGGACCCAAACACACCCATTGAGAGGAAGTCGAAGGGCACCTCCACCCAGGCCTCCTCCACCCACCTGGCCATGCTGGACGAGCCTCCGAGTGCCAGCACCAGCCGGGCCGGCTCGGTCCACAGCGCTCGGTCCAAGATGGGCAGTTACCACGGCAGCCTGCACCGCTCAGCAGACAGCAGGTTGGTTCTCCTCCATCTTTGATCTTCCATCAGTCCTGCAGCTCCACTCTGGTTCTCCATCCTCAGATACACCTGCTCTGCCTTCAGAACCGGAGAGCGACTGCCTTATGGAAGCACGCCTCGCCTCAACGACCAGACCCGATACTGCAGCACCAGCCGACTGGAGAACCAGTCCAGGACCAGCAGCATCAGGGACCTGAGCTCAGCCACACAGGCGGTTCTGAGCATCTCTGGGAACGGGATCCACATGATGATGGCCAAGGACGGCGCTGCAGCCTGAATGGACACCAGTCTACAGTTCTGGAAGGGTCCGAGCAGGACCGGACCCTGAGGAACCTGGTCCAGACCCACACAGTTGGACTGGATCTGGACCTCAGCTTTATATGACAGAGCAGCTCATCCAAATCATGGACCCGACTGGATCAGTTCTGGTTCACCCCAACCCTTCACAGATGGGGAGGTGGACCTACACCCAACAGAGCCGTGGTTCGACTGGACTTTAGTGTGACCCGAGTCTGAAGATGCAGCAGGTTCGGGTTTGTTCTGGAGGGAAATGTTCTGGAGCTTCGTTTGCCTCCTCTTAAAGGGACGAGGTGTCACATGACCTGTTGTAGATGACATCATCATGCAGGTTGGGTTTATGCTCAGGTCTGTTAGCTGCGAGCACCATCAGACTCCACCCACCACGCCTGGCGTCGCGAGGATGAACCTGAGCGGGTCCCAGAACCTGAGTGGGTCCCAGAACCTGAGTGGGTCCCAGAACCTGAGCCCTGAGCGGGTCCCAGAACCTGAGCGGGTCCCAGAACCTGAGCGGGTCCCAGAACCTGAGCGGGTCCCAGAACCTGAGCGGATCCCAGAACCTGAGCCCTGAGCGGGTCCCTGAACCTGAGCGGGTCTCAGAACCTGAGCGGGTCCCAGAACCTGAGCGGGTCGCTGAACCTGAGCGGGTCCTAGAACCTGAGCGGGTCCCAGAACCTGAGCGGGTCTCAGAACCTGAGCGGGTCCCAGAACCTGAGCGGGTCTCAGAACCTGAGCGGGTCCCAGAACCTGAGCGGGTCCCAGAACCTGAGCGGGTCCCAGAACCTGAGCGGGTCCCAGAACCTGAGCGGGTCTCAGAACCTGAGCGGGTCCCAGAACCTGAGCGGGTCTCAGAACCTGAGCGGGTCCCTGAACCTGAGCGGGTCCCAGAACCTGAGCGGGTCCCTGAACCTGAGCGGGTCCCTGAACCTGAGCGGGTCTCAGAACCTGAGCGGGTCCCAGAACCTGAGCGGATCCCAGAACCTGAGCCCTGAGCGGGTCCCTGAACCTGAGCGGGTCTCAGAACCTGAGCGGGTCTCAGAACCTGAGTGGGTCCCAGAACCTGAGCGGGTCTCTGAACCTGAGCGGGTCCCTGAACCTGAGCGGGTCCCAGAACCTGAGCGGGTCCCAGAACCTGAGCGGATCCCAGAACCTGAGCGGATCCCAGAATCTGAGCGGGTCCCAGAACCTGAGCGGGTCCCAGAACCTGAGCGGGTCCCAGAACCTGAGCGGGTCCCAGAACCTGAGCGGGTCCCAGAACCTGAGCGGGTCCCTGAACCTGAGCGGGTCCCAGAACCTGAGCGGGTCCCAGAACCTGAGCGGGTCTCAGAACCTGAGCGGGTCTCAGAACCTGAGCGGGTCCCAGAACCTGAGCGGGTCTCAGAACCTGAGCGGGTCCCAGAACCTGAGCGGGTCCCTGAACCTGAGCGGGTCCCAGAACCTGAGCGGGTCCCAGAACCTGAGCGGGTCCCAGAACCTGAGCGGGTCCCAGAACCTGAGCGGGTCCCAGAACCTGAGCGGGTCCCAGAACCTGCTTCCTAACACAAGCGGGGAGACGTTAATGAGCAGACGATGGCGGCTGGTTTCTGTAACAGCTCTCCTCTTTATTGAAATACATCGGAGTCATCGGGTTAACATGAGTTCAGCCACTTCCACACCTTAAATACTTCTGTGCAAAAACAGGACCGGCACCACCTGTAGTGGGTTCTGGTTCTCCTCCGTAAAGCGGCCCAAATAAAACAAGATGATTACATCTGAACATGCAAAACTGTACAAATTATTACAGAGCAACCCACGTTGCTGCAACTAAAGGTGTGATATGACATGAAAGCAGGAGAACATGGAGCTGCTGGAGATGAGACCTCACCCAGAACCCGGTTTGGACTTTTCCTGAGTTTCCCGTCCTCCCTCCTGAAACATCTGGATGTTTCCTTTGCTCCTCCTGTGGACACCGGCTCTCCAGCTGGAACACGTGGAGACGGGATTCCCACACCTTCCCCGTCTGCTGCTGCTTTCTCACATCCTGCTTCAGGAGCCCGAAGTAAACCAGCTGGAGACGACCGGACCGGGTCAAAGGTCAGGCTCAGTGCGGTTCCTCTGACCATCAAGACCAACGTGCTGCTGACTGTTTACATTCCCACTGTTTTCTAGTTAATAAACACGTCAGAACATCTGGAGTAAAGGCCTCTCTCTCTCTCTCTCTCTCACACGCACACACACACTCTCTCACACACACACACACACTCTCGCTCTCACACACACACACACAGAGACACACACACACACTCTCACACGCACATGCACACACACACACACACACTGGAGTAAAGGCCTCTCTCTCTCTCTCTCACACACGCACACACACACACGCGCACATACACACACTCTCACACACACACACACACACTCTCGCGCTCACACACACACACAGAGACACACACACACACACACTCTCACACGCACACGCACACACACACACACTGGAGTAAAGGCCTCTCTCTCTCTCTCTCACGCACACACACACACACTCTCACACACACACACACACACACACACACACACGCACACATACACACACACTCTCACACACACATACACACACACACACACACACACACACACACACACTGGAGTAATGGCCTCTCTCTCTCTCACACACACACACACACACACACACACACTGGAGTAATGGCCTCTCTCTCTCACACACACACACACACACACACTGGAGTAATGGCCTCTCTCTCTCTCTCTCACACACACACACACACACACACACACACACACACACACACACACACACTGGAGTAATGGCCTCTCTCTCTCTCACACACACACACACACACACTGGAGTAATGGCCTCTCTCTCTCTCACACACACACACACACACACACACACACACACACACACACTGGAGTAATGGCCTCTCTCTCACACACACACACACACACACACACACACACACACACACTGGAGTAATGGCCTCTCTCTCACACACACACACACACACACACACACACACACACTGGAGTAAAGGCCTCTCTCTCTCTCTCACACACACACACACACACACACACACACACACACACACACACTGGAGTAATGGCCTCTCTCTCACACACACACACACACACACACACACACACACACACACACACACACTGGAGGAAGATGGCGGCGTGTTAAAAATGGCTTCTGTGAGAGAAAACGAGTGACTGGCTTCCTGTACTCCTCTACATCACTTCCTTCTCATATATTACTCTCTACTTTCAACCTATGTACATCATCGCCACGGGAGACAAGAGTCGGGGGGGGGGGACAGATGATGTCACTGGCTCTGAGCCAATGAGGAGCCGCTGCTGGTGAAGGTCGCTGCACTCACACGTGAAGTTAAAACAAAACTCTGAAATGTTTCCTTGCAGCAGTCCAAGTAGCTGTGGGGAAGTGAGGAGGGGCTGAAGCTCCGCCCCTTCCTGCCTGCTTCAGGCCACGCAGAATCAGACCTTCCTGGTCTACGGTCGATAAATAAATTAAAACCCGACTGGTCCTATGTACAGATACAACCTGTCCCTGGGGGGGGGCATCGTGAGCTCTAATTAGGTCTGTAGGTGGCTCCTGCACACACACACACACACACACACACACAGCCCCCACCCTCTGAATCCCCCAGAGGCTGAACTGGGTTATGAAGTGGGGCAAATGTTCATAGTGGGGTGGGGGTGAGACATGGTGAGGCTCATGTGTCCCAGCCCATCCTCTCTGTGCTCTCCAGGGACAGGGACTTGGTCTTGTGTGGGGACGCCGGGCTGGGGGGGCTGCTGAAGGTGGAGCTGTTGGAAGCCGTGGAGTGGCGGGGGGAGTCCGAGTCCTGAGCGGGAGACAGGTGGAGACAAAGAGACAGGGGGACAATAACTATTCACTTGTACAGGACAATCACACGTCTTCACGAGAACCTGGTCCTGGACCATGAGGACATGTGGGACTCGTTGATCTGCTGACAGAGGACCTCAGATCAACAGCTGCACTGAGCACAGATGATCAGCTGAGGGAAAACAGACATGCAGAGCGTGTTCATGTGGTTCTAGAAGGTTCATCTGTGGAGGGAACTGGACCTCTGGAGAGTAGACGTTCTGCCCCTGAGGACGTTGCTGTGGAGCAGAACAAGTAAGGTTTCAGCTCCCCAGAACTCCCAGTGCAGCCAGAGATCCCAGTCGGCCATCTACAACCAAAGCTTCTACCTTCTACTGGACTGGTGAAATCCACCTGAACCCACTAGGACCACCAGGACCTGAACCCACTAGGACCACCAAGACCTGAACCCACTAGGACCACCAAGACCTGAACCCACTAGGACCACCAGGACCTGAACCCACTAGGACCACCAGGACCTGAACCCACTAGGACCACCAGGACCTGAACCCACTAGGACCACCAGGACCTGAACCCACTAGGACCACCAGGACCTGAACCCACTAGGACCACCAAGACCTGAACCCACTAGGACCACCAGGACCTGAACCCACTAGGACCACCAGGACCTGAACCCACTAGGACCACCAAGACCAGGATGACTGGGAACACTCAGACCAGGAGAGGAGACTCTGCTATGTGGCATCTTCAGCTGGTGCTGACCTGGGGTAGATGGTAACGAAGAGGGGAGCTACTGCAGGTGTGTGTGTGAGTGTGTGTGAGACTCAAACGTGCACCAACACAGCATGCTGCCTCACTTCCAACCAGATTGAGCTTCTCTAGGTAAGTGTGGAGACACAAACCCTGATAGCGGACCGTCTCCAGGCACTTCCTGGTTAGAGACAGAAGGGGGCAGCATGGAGGCAGACATGCTCTATGATTGGCTGAGTGATGAGAAGCAGAGCTGAACCAATCAGGTCACAGTGATGCTGCTGATGTGGTGGAGCTGAGATGATGAGCATGATGCACAGCGTGTGTGTGTGTGTGTGTGTGTGTGTGTGTGTGTGTGTGTGTGTGTGTGTGTGTGTGTGTGTGTGTGTGTGTGTGTACGGTGACAACACAGTGCGGCCGTAGCAGCTGAGCACATTACCTTCATCTTACTAAGCAGGGTCCTTAAAGCCCTTTTCAGATCGGGGGTCTTGTCCGACGGGGACGCCGCCTGCCACTGCAGAGGAGAGTTCACACTCAGCGCCCCGCCCACAGAGAGCATGCTGGGGGGGGGGCTTGGTTAGGATGGGAGGTGGGGCGAAATGGAACCGACTCTCCAGGCTCATGGGATTGGAGAGCCACGGGATAAAGGCAAGCAGCTGCATGGGGAGGGAGGGGGGTCTAACTGGTGCTGCTGGGAACCTCTAGAAAGCAGACCCCAAAGGGAGCTAACCAGCTGGAGGTGAGATGAGCTGAAGAACCTTCATATGGGGGGGGGGTTAATGGTAGAGGAGTGTCCACCTGATTCAGTTCTAGGGTTCTACATGTCGGGTCGGGTCTCCTGTCTGACTTTTGCATCTCTCATGGTCCACTCTGAAGGTCCAACCCAGCGTTCAGTCAGGCTCAGGGCTGGACCGTCACAGAACCTTGACTCCGTTTGGATCATGGTTCTGGTTAATGACCCAGTTTGGTCCAAACCTCAGCTAGGTTTCCACTGCAGGCTAAAGCACATCAGATCCGAGTTTTCCCCACGTGTGACCGTCAGAACAACACAGATGGGAGGTATCTGATACGTATCATATACGTATATGATACATATCAGATACGTATATGATACGTATACGTATCATATACGTATCTGATACGTATACGTATCATATACGTATATGATACGTATCAGATACGTATCAGATACGTATCATATACGTTTCAGATACGTATCAGATACGTATACGTATCATATACGTATCTGATACGTATACGTATCATATACGTATATGATACGTATCTGAAACGTATATGATACGTATCAGATACGTATCTGATACGTATCAGATACGTATCATATACGTATCTGATACGTATCAGATACATATCAGATACATATCAGATACGTATCAGATACGTATCTGATATGTATCTGATATGTATCTGATACGTATCTGATACGTATCAGATGTTTCTGATTTCAGTCTGAACGGTCATGTATTAAATCCCCCCTTCGTCACTGATCAGCGGAGGAGAGCGTTGTGATCCTGAGGAGCAGCGCTGACAGAAGGACTTGGAGGGACTCGGAGGTCTGTGTAGACATCTGGTCAGGTTTAGGAATTTCACACTGGACAGAGTCTGATGTCACTTTTAACGTGAACCTAGCCCGAGACTCTGTGAGGCTTTGGTCCGAGGAGTTCGTAGTTGACTCCGCCCCCATGATGAGCTCACACTACCAGCTGGTATCAGCTGGTTGCTGCTGTGCATTATGGGTAAACAGGTGTAGTTTGCTCTCATCTCTCCAGGTTGTTCTACAGAGAAGACATGACCTTTAGCTTTAGCTGGTGTTTGTGTCCCTTCTCTGATGAAGATCAGTTCATTTCAGCTCCTGACCGATACAGAACCTCATCTGGGTCACATGTAAGTGGGAGGAGCCCACATGAGCTCATTACATCTCGATGCGTGAACCGTAGAACTGAAAGGGGGTGGGCTTTGCTTTATCACCGCTGTCTGGGACCTTCTACAGCCTCGTGGCAGGAAGCCACCATGGTTCCTACAGAGCAGATGTTTGGCTGACACCACCAACACAATCAGAACCGGTTCAGCCCGATTTCTCCTGAATGAAAATGCTGTTTTCAGATCAGGTTGGTTTGTTTCAGCCAAACAGTCTGAAGCTTTCATCTTTTAGACCGAGGTTCAACAGCAGGACACGGGTCTGGTGGGCGTCAGCCTCACTGTCTGGGTTTACTGACCTCTCTGTCAAACTGAGAGAGCGGAGCTTCTCCACAGTCCATGCCCCCCCCAGAGGAGAGGGAGCTCTCAGAGGGGGAGGTCATGGTCTGGCGTTTGGACCCGTAGCTTCCTCCGGACAGCTCCCTGCGTAAAGCACTTCCGTTCTGAGAGGGCGAGCCTGGATGGGGAACATTCTGAGTCAGGAAACAAAACCAAACACGGGAGGAGACGAGCGACAGGCTGATGTCACTCACGTATGCCCAGCCCGCTGCTGGCGCTCATGGAGCGGCCCGGCTCGGCCCGGTTCTTGGTGATGGAGGGGATGCTGACTGAACCGCTGAATCCTGCACGGCTCTCCTGAACACGAACGTTCTGGTTGGAATGGAACAGAGGCTGAGGAGTGAGGCGTGTGCACGTGCCTCGTGTGTGTTGGTGTGCACGTACCATGGGGAGGTCCTTCAGGATCTGGATCCCATCCCCTGGTCCCATGTGAGCCACGTGGTTGAAGTTGGTGGGGTTGGAGATCAGCTTGTTCCTCATCTCTGGATCTCGCAGCATTTCTCTGGAACCACAAAGACAGCATGAGGAGAGCCGGAGCGACCAGTTACCTTGCAAAAGTAATCCGATTACTAGGGGTGTAATGTTTTGGTGCGTAGTGTGGTTTCAACGTACGGTTTGCTTCGGTCACATCTGTTAAGATATTCTCTAGGGACAGAGGTAGCCGCTGTCAGGGCGCCCCCGGGCAGCTGTGGCTACATGGTAGCTCATCACCACCGGTGTGTGAATGTGTGTGTGAATGGGTGAATGATACACTGTAGTGTAAAGCGCTTTGGAGTCCTTACTCTGAGAGGCGTTATACAAGTGCGGGTCATTTATCATTATCTGACAACACATCGTCATGGTTACCAAGATAAGGCTGTCTGGTTGCATAGCTGTTCTGACCCGGTGTGTGTTCTGACCCGGCGTGTGATAGACTCCACGCCTACGCCAGCCGGGTGGGGCGGCTCTTTTGAAGGATGCAGCCTCTGAATTGGTTAATGTGGGCAGCACCACTACACGTCCGCGCGGGAACTCGGCACGAGTCCGCGTGGGTACGAGTCCGCGTGGGTACGAGTCCGCGTGGGTACGAGTCCGCGTGGGAACTCGGTACAGCTACAACATAAACCTTAAGGGCAACGGTAGCTGTGGGCGCTCGGTGCTGCACGCACACACACACACGCGCACACACACACACACACACACACACACACACACACACACACACACACACACACACACACACACACACACACACACACACACACACACCAGCATTCCCAGGTCAGACAAGACCTCTCGAGTCTGCAATAAACCAACATGGTGGACAAGGAGAATTTAGACTGACCTCAGCTTGCTTTCTGATTGGCTACACGTCACATGTGGTATTGAGGGTAGGGTCATAACTAATGAGTAACCAGATCAGGATGTTGGGTTGCTGGTACAAACCCCGTCATCTGTACCGGTCTGCCTCTACAGAAGCTGATGATGTCACTTACGGGTCGACTTGCTGCCTGTCCAAAACCTAACTGCTTTAAAAGACTAGTTCAGACCTGGTTTAAAAGACTAGTTAAGACCTGGTTTAAAAGACTAGTTCAGACCTGGTTTAAAAGACTAGTTCAGACCTGGTTTAAAAGACTAGTTCAGACCTGCTTTAAAAGACTAGTTCAGACCTGGTTTAAAAGACTAGTTCAGACCTGGTTTAAAAGACTAGTTCAGACCTGGTTTAAAAGACTAGTTAAGACCTGGTTTAAAAGACTAGTTCAGACCTGGTTTAAAAGACTAGTTCAGACCTGCTTTAAAAGACTAGTTAAGACCTGGTTTAAAAGACTAGTTCAGACCTGGTTTAAAAGACTAGTTAAGACCTGGTTTAAAAGACTAGTTCAGACCTGGTTTAAAAGACTAGTTCAGACCTGGTTTAAAAGACTAGTTCAGACCTGGTTTAAAAGACTAGTTCAGACCTGGTTTAAAAGACTAGTTCAGACCTGCTTTAAAAGACTAGTTAAGACCTGGTTTAAAAGAATAGTTCACACCTGGTTTAAAAGACTAGTTCAGACCTGGTTTAAAAGACTAGTTCAGACCTGCTTTAAAAGACTAGTTAAGACCTGGTTTAAAAGACTAGTTCAGACCTGCTTTAAAAGACTAGTTAAGACCTGGTTTAAAAGACTAGTTAAGACCTGCTTTAAAAGACTAGTTCAGACCTGCTTTAAAAGACTAGTTAAGACCTGGTTTGAAAGACTAGTTCAGACCTGGTTTTAAAGACTAGTTCAGACCTGGTTTAAAAGACTAGTTCAGACCTGGTTTAAAAGACTAGTTCAGACCTGCTTTAAAAGACTAGTTCAGACCTGGTTTAAAAGACTAGTTAAGACCTGGTTTAAAAGACTAGTTAAGACCTGCTTTAAAAGACTAGTTCAGACCTGCTTTAAAAGACTAGTTCAGACCTCCTTTAAAAGACTAGTTAAGACCTGGTTTAAAAGACTAGTTCAGACCTGCTTTAAAAGACTAGTTCAGACCTGCTTTAAAAGACTAGTTCAGACCTGGTTTAAAAGACTAGTTCAGACCTGGTTTAAAAGACTAGTTCAGACCTGGTTTAAAAGACTAGTTCAGACCTGGTTTAAAAGACTAGTTCAGACCTGGTTTAAAAGACTAGTTCAGATCTGCTTTAAAAGACTAGTTAAGACCTGCTTTAAAAGACTAGTTAAGACCTGCTTTAAAAGACTAGTTCAGATCTGCTTTAAAAGACTAGTTAAGACCTGGTTTAAAAGACTAGTTCAGACCTGGTTTAAAAGACTAGTTAAGACCTGGTTTAAAAGACTAGTTCAGACCTGGTTTAAAAGACTAGTTCAGACCTGGTTTAAAAGACTAGTTCAGACCTGGTTTAAAAGACTAGTTCAGACCTGGTTTAAAAGACTAGTTCAGACCTGGTTTAAAAGACTAGTTCAGATCTGCTTTAAAAGACTAGTTCAGACCTGGTTTAAAAGACTACTTCAGACCTGGTTTAAAAGACTAGTTAAGACCTGGTTTAAAAGAATAGTTCAGACCTGGTTTAAAATACTAGTTCAGACCTGGTTTAAAAGACTAGTTCAGACCTGCTTTAAAAGACTAGTTAAGACCTGGTTTAAAAGACTAGTTAAGACCTGCTTTAAAAGACTAGTTCAGACCTGGTTTAAAAGACTAGTTAAGACCTGCTTTAAAAGACTAGTTCAGACCTGCTTTAAAAGACTAGTTAAGACCTGGTTTGAAAGACTAGTTCAGACCTGGTTTTAAAGACTAGTTCAGACCTGGTTTAAAAGACTAGTTCAGACCTGCTTTAAAAGACTAGTTAAGACCTGGTTTAAAAGACTAGTTAAGACCTGCTTTAAAAGACTAGTTCAGACCTGCTTTAAAAGACTAGTTCAGACCTGCTTTAAAAGACTAGTTAAGACCTGGTTTAAAAGACTAGTTCAGACCTGCTTTAAAAGACTAGTTCAGACCTGCTTTAAAAGACTAGTTAAGACCTGGTTTAAAAGACTAGTTCAGACCTGGTTTAAAAGACTAGTTCAGACCTGGTTTAAAAGACTAGTTCAGACCTGGTTTAAAAGACTAGTTCAGATCTGGTTTAAAAGACTAGTTCAGACCTGCTTTAAAAGACTAGTTAAGACCTGCTTTAAAAGACTAGTTCAGATCTGCTTTAAAAGACTAGTTCAGACCTGCTTTAAAAGACTAGTTCAGACCTGCTTTAAAAGACTAGTTAAGACCTGGTTTAAAAGACTAGTTCAGACCTGGTTTAAAAGACTAGTTCAGACCTGGTTTAAAAGACTAGTTCAGACCTGGTTTAAAAGACTAGTTCAGATCTGGTTTAAAAGACTAGTTCAGACCTGGTTTAAAAGACTAGTTCAGATCTGCTTTAAAAGACTAGTTAAGACCTGCTTTAAAAGACTAGTTCAGACCTGGTTTAAAAGACTAGTTCAGACCTGGTTTAAAAGACTAGTTAAGACCTGGTTTAAAAGACTAGTTCAGATCTGCTTTAAAAGACTAGTTCAGACCTGCTTTAAAAGACTAGTTCAGATCTGCTTTAAAAGACTAGTTCAGACCTGCTTTAAAAGACTAGTTAAGACCTGGTTTAAAAGACTAGTTCAGACCTGGTTTAAAAGACTAGTTCAGATCTGGTTTAAAAGACTAGTTCAGACCTGGTTTAAAAGACTAGTTCAGATCTGCTTTAAAAGACTAGTTAAGACCTGGTTTAAAAGACTAGTTAAGACCTGCTTTAAAAGACTAGTTCAGACCTGCTTTAAAAGACTAGTTCAGACCTGGTTTAAAAGACTAGTTCAGATCTGCTTTAAAAGACTAGTTCAGACCTGCTTTAAAAGACTAGTTCAGATCTGCTTTAAAAGACTAGTTCAGACCTGCTTTAAAAGACTAGTTAAGACCTGGTTTAAAAGACTAGTTCAGACCTGGTTTAAAAGACTAGTTCAGACCTGGTTTAAAAGACTAGTTCAGACCTGGTTTAAAAGACTAGTTCAGATCTGCTTTAAAAGACTAGTTAAGACCTGCTTTAAAAGACTAGTTAAGACCTGCTTTAAAAGACTAGTTCAGACCTGCTTTAAAAGACTAGTTCAGACCTG